ACTAATCAATATCAAATCACATTGAGATGTTCCTCAAGCTTCTATGACATTTATAACTGGTCATTTGGGAGAACTAGTGTAACAACCAGATTCTGTCATTATAGAAAAGTCAACGGCGAAAATTTTTGGGCTGAAAAACTTTTTCGTAGTAACTTGGAATTTTTCAATCTAGTCCAGATTTGGACGAAATTGGAGTCTTTAAGGTGTAGGAAAATCTGGTAATAATCAGGTGATTTAATTATGATTTTGATTACATGAGTAGTTAGATAAGTCGTTAAGGAACTCATATGACTTTACGGAATTGAATTCGAGTGAGTAGAACTCCCGAAATCGATCTTAGCATGAACGATATTTTTTTAGCGTCATTGGTTAAAGGTGTGTTGTGAAATGGGGGTCTTGGAATTATTAAAATAGCTCATTGTTTCGTGCAATCCGCTTTGGCGGTGGTTTTGGTCGCTCTGGCGGGGCCGTTGTAGCGGGGTGAGGGCTGCTGTGGCAGGCCAGACGTGACTTAAAGTCGTAAATAAACCCCGAAACAACTTTATTCTGCACTTTTCGATTTTTAGAACTAAGGAACGAACCCCAGGCGACTCTTGAAAGTTTTTCACCATTCTTGAGGCTAAAGGTAAGTTTTTCACTCCTCGAATCCATTTTTCGATCCGTAGAACATAATAGAATGGGTAGTTATCGATGGGGGAGGGTTTTGAATTGGAAACCATGGTGAAAAAAATCCCTAGTTTGGATACTTGGGTATGATCTAGGGTTGTTAGAATTGTTAGTAATCCGGGTAATTAGTGATTGTTTATTGATTCCCGTGTTATTATGATTGTTTGTAGACCAAGAACAAGCGGAACGAATCCGGAAAGGGAAGGATCAAGTTTCTTAGGGTTTCAAGCTTGTTTCGAGGTAGGTGATGGTTGTGATTTTATGATTGTGTGATGTATGTTTGTTCTTGCTTCATTATGATACATGTATGTCTGCGAATGTTGCATTATTGATTACACTTGTTGTAAATGAGATAGATGAATAACTATATGCCATGAATCACTTCTTGATTGTATGATTATTGAGAATGTACTTGTGATTGTGGTGTGTTGATTGGATCGGATACCGCATTTCGATATACTAATTGGGATCGGTTGCCACGTTCCGGCATAATTATGGGATCAGTTGCCACGTTTCGGCATAAAAATTGGATCGGGTACCACATTCCAGTAAGCTAACAGTTTGGGTTTGGGTTCCATGAGAGTACCATTGACTTGACATAACTGTGTAATTGAGAATTGTTAACTTGATCGTTATTTGTAAATGATATTGATATTGTATATGTTTGGTGTATGCATGTTATTGTTATGTTGTAATAGCTTATGTATGTTGCACTTAGAGGGATAGTCGTGTGATCCTACCAGTACACTGTGGTTGTGTATTGATACTGCACTTGCTCTTTCTTTGTTGAGTGTATGGCATCTTCAGGCGGCTATTGACAAACCTCGTTTAGAAGATCAGTGATCGCTTTGAATTCAACGGTGAACCAGTTCTTCCGGGCAACCATGAGTTCTCTTTCTGTTTATGTCCATATTTCGGACTTAGACTTTTCTAGTTAGTTATTAGTGCATTAGTTTGGGGTTGTATCCCTTCTTATTTAGACTTGTTGAACTTTAGATATTTTGGTACATTGACTTTCAGGTTCTATGTGTTACTTCCGCATTTGTTTAGTTGATAGACTTTTGTTTGGAGTTTATGGGAACTCCCTATTTCTTTCCTTAGTATTTGACTTGCTTCCGTAACTTAAATGCTTTAGTTTTTGGTTTAGTTGCTTGTTTTGGGTTGTAGTAGTGGTTCTCCCATCGGAGGTTTAGTATGGGTGCCAATCACGACGGTCTGGGTCGTGACAAAGTTGGTATCAGAGCCTAGGTTCATTGATCTCAATGTACCAAAACAAGTCTAGTAGAGTCTTGCGGAACGATACGGGGACGCCTTTACATTTCTTCGAGAGGCTATAGGACTTTAGGAAATCTCTGTCTTCTCTTGTCTCCTTTCGTGCTATGACTTGATTCCAATTGGTATCTAGCGATTCAAATTAATATCTAACCTCCTTCACTCTTCTGTCCGCAGATGGTTAATACTAGATTCAACGATGTCAGGCCCTTAGCTCCCGTTAATGCTCTAGCTGAGGAATTTGCAGCGAGAGGTTGCGGTCGAGGCAGGGGTAGAGGAAGAGCTAGGGGTAGAGACCACGGAAGAGTGGCGCCGGTTAGAGATGGGGTATCGATAAAAAATGTTCCCCAAAATGAGGCCCCTCTTGTGCATCATGAAGAGATAGAAGAGGATATTGAGGTTGAAAATGTTGATGAGGTTGGACAAGAGGAAGAGGTGCAGGAAGAGACTATCGATGTTCCCCCATAGACCCAGTGTTAGCTCGATAGATCATGTCATTCCTGAAAGAGTTGGTTGGTCCTGGAGTGCTTCCTTCTGCTCAAGCAACTCAAGCACCTACTAATCCCCCTGTTGCTAGCACTGCGCCCAAGCTGGGTGGGACTGGAGGTAATGATGCTTTCTTCCGTCATTTGTTGGGTTCTGTTATGACTAGTAATGAGCATGAAATGTTGACTAAGTTTTTAAAGCTAAAGCCTCTTATGTTTCTTGGTTCTGAGAATGAGGATGTTTATGAGTTTATCTTAGATTGTTATGAGAGGCTTCATAAGTTGGGAATTTTCCATCAACATGGGGTTGAGTTTGTGACCTTTCAACTTCAAGGTGAGACTAAACAGTGGTGGAGAGCTTACATGGAATGCAGATCTTCAACTTTACCTCCATTTACTTGGACCCAATTTCATGCTCTGTTTCTAGAAAAATATGTGCCTAGGACTTTGAGAGATCGCAAGAAGGATGAGTTTATGGCGTTTGAGCAAGGTGGGATGTATGTGGCTGCTTATGAGGCCAAGTTTCATGCTTTGTCTAGATATGCTACTCAATTAGTGACTACTGAGGAGGAGAGGATCCATTTATTTATTTATTTGGGGACTAAACTCTAAGTTACAGGTATTATCTATTCATATGACCTCTGCAGGGAGGAGCTTTAATGAGGTAATAGACTTTGTGAAGCAAGTGGAAGGGGTGAGGCGAGACGGTCAGGCTAAGGCATTGGCTAAAAGGGCCAAGAATTCAGGCAACTTTCAAGGTTCTTATTCCAGAGGTTCAGGAAGGCCAACGCTTGTAGCCAAGACATTTCAGTCCGCTATGCCCGCCTCTACAGGTAATTACTTGGGAACTCCACCTCATAATTTGATTTAGGATAGCCAGGGAGTCGCACCTTCAGCTGGCAACAGGTCATCCTTTGATCGTACATGTTACAACTGTGGTGAACCTGAACATATGAGGAGAGATTGTACCCACCCACGTGTGTTAGATTCCGCGCAATAGCAGTCTAGAGCAATGGTACCCGCGGGGGAATGATAATAATGGTCGAGGACGTCCACAAGGTGGGCGATGAGGTAATCAGCGAGGTCGTGGAGGTAGAGGAAATGGTAATACAGGCAGGGGTAACATGCAACCAGGCAGAGAAGTGGCTCGTCAAGATGATATGGCTCAGTGTTATGCCTTTCCGGGCAATAATGAGGCAGAGGCGTCTGACGCGGTGATCACATGTACTATTCTTGTTTGTGACCGGATGGCTAATGTGTTAATTGATTCGGGTTCTACTTATTCCTATGTATCCGTGCGATTTGCCTCAGAATTTGCTATGATTTGTGATATACTTGATGTCCCTATCCATGTTTCTACCCTAGTTCGAGAGTCAGTCATAGTCACCCATGTCTAAAGTATACATCTAACGTATCTGCCCTTTTGTCCTTTTGTTCTATCGGGGGGACATGATTCCTTTGCTATTTTCGGGGAATGAGCTCCCACCTTTTTTTTATAATGATCATCTTGTGATTTCGATGAAGAGTCTAAGTTGAGCTCTCCAACTAGTGTTTGCTTCGAGCTTTATGCCAATGGAATCACATCGCACTCTCCTCCAATCTTATGTGTCACGTGTCCTTTCTAAATTTTGCTACGTGTACAAAGTATTAATCCCCAACACATAAACACCCTATTATCTTTATTAAATTTAAAAAAATAAGAGGTGCTTATAATAATTATTGGAATAAGCAAATATTTAACTTTACCTTAAAATTCAATTTTTATTTACTTGAAATGTGTTGTGAACTTTATTTCAGTTTATAAAGTTTAAAGCATTTACTTACGGCAGTAGAAAGGAGCATGCTTCACAATTCATGTAATTGGAATAAGGATAAGAGTTTCTTTTTATGAATTAATGGTTACACGAACACTATATACAAACAATAAACTTAAAGAAAAAAACATCCTAAAGGAGAAAGAAATTGGATTTTCCATCACTACACAATTATAAGTTATAACACAAGAAAAAACAAATCCTCCAACACCCCCACCCCCACCCCCTCACCCTACCCCCACTACTTTCTAACACCCACATATATCAATTGAAAGTACAAATAACCACTTAAGTGAAAAAGAAAGTACATAGAATAGATTGATCAAAAGAGTAAAAAAAGTTATCTTTTTATAAGGAAGAAAGAAGGGAACAAAGAGTGGACGTATCAAGTTAGTATTATTAATATAATAAAAATGAAGCATGGAAGAAACCATTAGTTTCTTCTCTTCTTCTTCCTTCCGTTATACTAATATTTCATAGAGGTCCAAAACATGTTCTTCTCCGCCGTCTTAGAAGGACAAAACCAAGTGGTGACAAATCAAGAAAAAGTCCAATTTTTTTTATTTGTACATACACACACACACAAATATTCATTCACTCATCATTATTACTACTACTACTACTAAAACTTCAAAAACCCTATTTATTTCACTTTGTACTTCTTCTTAGTATATTATAAATAGAAGTTAGGAGTATCTTTATTTCTCACAACACTTTAGTCCAAAAAAAAATTGTCATTGTTATTAGTCATAATATTTTTTATATGTCATCGTCACCATCCCCACCATCATCTTTAGGAGGAGGAGAAGGACCTTCTTCTTCTAGGAGAGGTAGACGTGCTGGAAATGATGTTTGGCCTGAGCCATTTGTGGAGGATTTGGCTTTGTTAGTTGGTACTGATGCTTCACATACTGTTGGCCGTTTGGCTGCTGCTCAAGCCCTAGCTCTTATTTTTCAGGTAAGGGACCTTTTTTTTTAATCAAATTAATAATTGTTAGGAGTTGCTCGTATGATAAGTATTCGTCACTCTCATTTTCAATTCTAAAGTTGTGTGTTTGAGTCATAAAAGATGAAATTGCTGTAATCATTTTTACATAATTATATTATATGTGTAAATGATAATAGGGGATTTAATTTGTAGGATATCTTTGACCAATTATAGTTTACATTACATAACAAGAATATGTGGATTTGCATTAAAGATTTTCTGAAAAACTGAAGAAATGGTTGATGGATAAAGGAAAATTTTGCAAGTACTTGATGATGTATCTATGTTAAAATAGCTAGGCATGTAGCCTGCAGGATGTAAAGATTTGAGCATCATCAAAACTATAATTAAGTCTGAGGAAGGTTGTACTTGTGGATCAGAATTTAATTTATTTTCTTTAATTTAATTCTTTGTTGGTAGTTCTTGATGAAGAAATTAATTACTAGTTCTGTTTTTGTGTTTGTTGAAAGGAATATAGAGTAATGCAGCCATCATTTTCATTCTTTAGGTTATCCATATTTAGCATATAGTCATAAGGAAAAAAGGGTTCTTTTGGTTTCTCTTGAAGTTCATTTCCTTTTTATTGCATGATCCTTTTCAAACTCTAGTAAGTACTGCCAACAGAATGTGTAAATTTAGTTAGAGATGTAGGCAATTGACAAACCCTTTTTTTTCACTATTTGGTTTCATTCTCTCACTTATCTTTTTTTAGAGTTTTACTTTTTTTCTTTAATTTTCCAACATGTTTGGTTAATATGATTTAGGTAAACCATATAGAGAGAAAAGGAAAAAAAGGTTTTTTTCCCCTTTATTTATGGCTTATTTTCAGTTTTTATAATCCTTTGGGTAACTATTTTATGTTTTCCGGTTCCCCACATTCAGGTAAAAGTTGCAGCTAAAGGACAACAAAAACAATATCACACAGTATCTGAATATGTACTAATCTAGATTGAAGTCTCATATATGGAGTCCTTTTGTCTTCCCTAGAAGTAGCTCATTTCTTTATTTATTCAATTAAAATGTAAGGGGTGGTGAGACCGTTATTAATTTAGAATTCAATAATTTAAATGGACTAAAATTCTAAACGCCTAGTTTACCATTAGTGAGTCTTTTGATTTAGCTTCTTGGTTGGTTAAATTAGATGGCAATGGTCAAACAAATATGAAGAAGTTGCAAGTGGCAAAATGAGTATAAAGATTCGTTGTTTCTAACGAGAAAAGCCATAAGGCCACCTTTCTTGGAAATGAAAGAAAGAATAGGGGTCATGTGGTGTCTTGTATAAAGAATAATAATTTCAGAATTCATGTTTCGTAATTCTTGAATTATTTATCTCACTATTTATACATTAGTGATATTCTTGAATTATTTATCTCACTATTTATACATTAGTGATATGATTAGTTATCTCATATACATATAGGAATAACTCATCATGGTCAAGATAATTAATCTCGACCCCAATAATATTGATAAGCAAAATTTATATCGTCAATGCAATGTTTATATGTTTATATTCGTGTATGTTGTGGACCACAAGAAAACCAGTTCAATTTTTGTATCTATGTGTTTGGATTTTGTTCAAGTCAATCTCTTTTTCTACTGTCAGTGTTTGACTCTTCAAGACTGCTTTTGTCCCTTCTCTATTACTACCTTATTTATTGCTCTAAAAAAATACTTTGGCTTGGGAAATCACATCTTTCCAACTAGTACTAATAAATTTGTGTCAATCAAAATGCCAACAACAAAATGTTAATCGGAGAATTTTAATAGCTCAATTAATTTATCATATATATTTCACCTTGTTCATGAGAGTTGGACTCCTCACCTTGTATTAATTTGAAAGAAAGAGAGAGAGAGTAATTAAGTATGTCATTGAAGGATGTTACTGTGTGTTAACAGTAGCTTGTGTTAGTAAGCCTGGAGAGGGGTGTTGTTAAAAGGAGAGAAATGTCAGTACTTTTTTTTGTTGCTTCACCTGATGAAATCTAGCTTCTACCCTAAGACTGACTACCATGTTTACCTCTACTCTGCCCCCTACTTCCTGACTCCTTTCTGACTCCCCTCTCTCCCACAAACTTCTTCTACAATTAGGTTTTTCTAAGTTTTTAACTTTTTCCTAATTTGCTTCTTAATTATCTACTTTTTTTACAAGTGATAATCCAATGACATAGCTCCAAAATGTATGTATTTGCCTCTAATTTACAACTCTTCAATTTTGGAATTGACACTAATTTTGTATTAGGGTAGAAGGTTAATAGGTATTAGGTATTGTTCTGATTTTCGATGGGTTTATACGCTATAATCTTATAGGACTCGTTTGGTGTGAGGGATTAGAAATAATAGTGATGGGATAAAAAAAAATTTATGCTGTTTGGTTGCCATGTATGAGATAATTTATCTCACCATTTATATCATAGTGATAGAATAAGTTATCTCATATACATGGTGAGATAAGTTATCCCAGGATAGCTAACCCCAGGATGACTTATATTGGGATAACTTGTTTTCAACCAGACAATCCCATAGTGTCTTGCTTTTGATTTTCATCATTTCTTGTTGTTGATTATGTTTAGGTTATTGTTACTGTTTTCTTATTAGTTGCTTTGTTTATTCCATTATCGTTTTTCCTTTTCAATACCTACTTTGATATGTTGTGTACTTGAGTTGAGGGTTTTTGAAAACAATTTTTTTTTAATTTCACGAGGTATATATATGATTTGCGTTGCGTATACTCTATTCTCTCTAGACTCCATTCGTGAAATTTAGATTTTGTATAAGACACTAAATAGTAAGGATGAGCATCACTTAATATTAAGTTTTGTTATTTCTACATGACTTTGGTTGTTGCATACTCCTAAATGTGTAAGAGATATGGTGTTGTTCAATATTAACTTTGTAATGGCTACTAAATTCAGGTTTGTTCAACATGGCAAGCAGTGTCACACTCAGATATGCTCTGGCAAAACCTAACAAGGCGTATATGGAACCGCCACGAGCTTCTCAGGCAAACATGGAGGGAGGAGTACATATATTGGCATCAAACAGCCAATAATTTCCTTCACCATAGATACACTTATAACACCCTCCATTTCGTGCCTGAAAACAATGTGGATGGTGATGATGACGATGATGACAACAACAACAATAACAACAACAACGACAGTCTCTTCTGTCGTCGTTTAGCCTTGTCTGATCATCATCTAGCAGCCGGTTTTTCTAACGGCTCAGTTCAATTATTTTTCCTACCTAGGAGGCTACATTTGTCAACATACCACCCTCATCATCGCGATCGTCTAGGCCGATTCTCTAGGGCTGTTTCTGGGATTATTTTATCTGATGTTCAACTTGTGTTTGCTTCTCTAGATGGTGATATTCATGTTGTGGTCATTGGTGATGCTGCACCACCTAGAAGGGCTCATTTAGGTGATGTAGTGAATGATGGTGCTTTGGTGGATTTTACTGGCTCTGACCAATGGTGGGTTGGACTCTATGCAGGTAATTTTATTATTTCCGTAAATTGTATAAGCGTGTTGTTGTGTTAAAAGTTGATTTTTATACTTTTGATGAAAAAACAGTAATTTGCGTGTGGATAATGAGAAAGAAAAGGTGCTTAAATTAATGTTTTGATTATTGAATATTCTAGGTAAGGCTTGTTAATTTGTAGTTTCTTGATTTGTGTGCTGTCATTTTTCATTTTTTTCTTTTGATGAAAGGTCAAAATACTTTACCCAGTGAACAATTTATGTGGTACCTTTTATTATAACATAAAATGTGACAATAGGCACAGCAGAAAATAAAGTGGACGTTTAATCATGTGTCATTGTGTAATTTGAAAAAAAAAGGTAGATTTTTGTTGTCAAAATGAATGATATTTGAAAGTTGAAGTTGTGTTTGGAATTATTTTTGATGTTTTGTGATTAATTTGGAATGAAAAAAGTGAACGCATTTTTGTTGATCTTAAAAATTCTATAACTTAAAACTTCAAGTTGAATTCTGAAACTTTATGGCACTCTGGAAAGACCGGCCCATCATACTAAAGCAACTCGAGAAGAACGATTAGGCGTATATTCTATCCTTTCTACAATGTCTAAAGACAAAGTGCTTCATTTCAGATCAATTCTTTGTTGTGAACAAGTTTTAGTTACAATACATTCGTTTAAGTTGATGCACTTGCATTTTTTCAGGTGTTCCAGGGAGGGCATTTCACATATGGAATAGGGAGACAGAAGAACTAGTCTTTGTTGGTGGTGAATTAACAGATCCAGAAGCGTTAATGGGTTGGCACCTACTAACCGAATTAACCGAAATCGTCGGTCGAATCCGAGTAACAACCCGAGAGACAGCCGTGGCATGTACAAGCCTTCAGCTCATGGTAATTGACTTACAAAACCAAGGCATAATAATAAGAGCACAACCTTCCCGAAGAGGGATCATCGTTGCATCATTCGATGCCTATAACGAGACACTAGTGGCTGTTGACACTCGAGGCATGGCCAGCATGCGTAGTGCGGATAATTTGGAGGAAAGATCAAGGTTTAATGTTAGAGGTGCTAACCAAAGAGGAGTTGTTGGATGCATAAATGGAGGATATGGATTTATGTGGCTAGGGAATGTTGTTAGGGTATGGGATATTGAAAATGGAAACTATCTATATAGTTTTGGGGAGAGAATAAGTGATGTTAATGCTATAATTGCTGATGAAAGATATGTGGTAGCTTGTTCAAGTGATGCTACTATACATTTGTGGGACTTTGGTGCTCAATAGTAGTATTGGAGGTTTTTTTGTTTTTGTTTTTTTTGTGGTATTATTCTTGGTGGGAATTTAAGGTATTTAGGTAGAGTAGAGGTAACATGGATGAATAGAAAAGGAACAGAAAACAAACAAAATTGTGAGGGGGGATGAATATATTCTGTTTGTACCAGGAATCTACCAATCATATGGTTTTTTTATGCAATGCAAAGTAGTATCTTTTACTTTCTCTAGTTTGTTGTTACCAAGTTTTACGGTGCTTTTGTCATCCCTTCAGTTAGACCTAAGTTTATTTCAGAGTTTTAATTACTTTTGAAATTTTATTTCCATTCCCTTCAATTTGAATATAACAAGTTCAAGTGGTTGAAGTAGTTATTATGACAAAAAATTACTAATTTCTAACTTTATTAGTGCAAAGTAACTTTGTGCTATAACTTTTTAAATTAAACTTGATACTACTATATAGTTTTTGTAGACTTTTGCTAGTGATGATTTCATAGAATTGAGGCAAAAAGGGCCAAATCAAGATTGAGCCATGCCCTAGGGTGAGTATACTTACATGGCTCAACAATCATCTCATTCACTTTGCCACAAATTGAAAAACATTTTGTATAACTATGTTGATTAGGGTTAGTATACTTACATGGCTCAGTCTTGATTAGGCATCTGCAATCTTGTTGGTTTTGAGAAAACCCATTCTGATTAGGGCTGTTTCGGCCTGAATTAGGCTTCAGTTTTATCATGAAATTACGCTACTCGTTAGGTACTAGGTAAACATGTAATATGTATTTAAAATACACCGTTATAGTTTGAAATAATTACAATTCGTAGTTATAGTTAGAATTTTGTTTGCTATTTGCTCTCTCCTCTCTTCCTCTCCCTCTCTCTCCTCCTTCTCTATCATCTCTCCCTCGTGTCACTCCTCTCCATGTCCACTTTTTCTCTCAATACAAATACAAATTATAACAAGTAATTATACAAATTCAAATGATAAGCGTCAACTATATATAGATTCTCTTTAGTGATACAAATACTAATAGACATGTATTTGTTGATACAAATAATGACAATCGATCAATTATGCAAATACAAATGTTGAACTTGAGACAACATTGATACAATTGTATTCGGATGCAAATTGTATTTGTCAATACAATCGATACAACATTGATACAAATGATAAACAAATGTTGAACTTGAAACAACGTTGATATAATTGTATACAATTTATTCGTTGATACAAATTGTATTCGTTAATACTATTGTATTCATTGGTACATATACATACTAATTACATAAATACAATTATCGAACATATATATATAAATACAATTCATCTCTCTCTTCTCTCTGCCCCTATCTCTTTCGCTCGCTTCGCTCCCCCCTCTAATGTGTAACTACGAATTGTAATTAGCAAACTATAACTATTTTTGCCTCATTATGTTTCAAGTTTTTGCTATTTTTGAGAATTCCTCACTCCCCAAAGCGTGTCGTGATTTTTTTGTGCCCTTTAAAATACAATCTTTTCTTTTTTACTTGTAGAACAAATACACTTCTTCCCTCTACACCTTAGATGTGTTTAAACAGATCTTCATATACTCAACTGTCTCTCAATATTTTTTTATTTTTTTTTATTATTTATTAATTTTTCTTTCTTCTTTCTATTTTGAATTGGTATAAAAAAAGAAATAATATTTTGAATTAAGTTAACACACGTCAAATAATAATTGGTGCATGTTAAACGATAACAAAAGTTCTACAAATTATTTAATAAAAAAACCAGTTTAAAATTATTTAAACGATAACAAAAGCTCTACAAGTTCCAAGTATTTTCTTGAAATACAAGTCTTACTTCAGCGGATAATTATGTATTTACTTTAATTACTGCTCTACCTTAATAAAAGTCTCTAAGTACTCCATGTACCCAAAATAGAAAGAAATAATTAATTAATATGATGTTGGTTTCACTAAAACAAATTGTTCCTATTTATATGTTGTTTTTATTAAACATAGACTTCTTTAATATTTTTCATTTATAAAATTAATGCATAAATAATACTATTCTTCCTATTTTAACCTTTGAAAATTATTAGCCTTATAAGTATACATTTGACCAATATAAAAAAATTGTGCATTAGTCGAAGTAGTTAATCAAAGTAATTGATTTATATTCATTATAAATTTGACTTCAAAAAAACACTAAACAAGAATATAATAATAAATTTACTTAGTTTCTTACGGAGCGTACAACCTAAAATGGTGACATATAAATAGGAATGGAATGAGATACTCATTCTCACTAGCTAGTCACTAGTCACTAATCACATTAATCATTATCATGCAGTTTTTAGAGCCGCCTGATTTAATTTGCCTTGAAAGAATGGTTAATGACTACCTTAAAGTTGTGTTGTTAAGTATGCTCACTTCTCACCAATGCCATTGCCATCTGATTTTCCTTAAATTAATGAGTATACTCTACATCTCACTATCCTAAGTTGCAGATTTCACTAGCTAGTCTCTAATTGCACCAATCAATCAGTAAAATCTAGACATGGACCTAGCTAGCACTACAACAAAAACAATTTAATTTTAACAGTAATAAATACTCCCTCTGTTCTTAATTATTGATATAATGAGTTTATCATTTTATCCTTAGTTATTATGAAATAGATGAATTAAAAACTTAAGGTTTTTAAGAAGTTCTACCTTCTTCAAAATAATTAATTGAGGGTATAATACAAAAAACAAATTGTCCTTTCTTGATTTGTCAAATTTTTTACAAGTAATTAGGGACAACTAAAAAAGAAAAAATGGACAAAAAATTAGGGATAAAAGGAGTATATATATTACTCCCTCCGTCCAACAATACTTGTCCACTATTCTAAAAATAGATGTCCAACCATACATGTCCACTTTATGAAATCCATGGATAATTTTTACACTTAGTTCCTAATTTACCTTTATCATTAATTATAGTTATTTCACTATTACATTTTTCAAGACATTGTATTTATTATATTCAAAGGGTGATATAGTAAAATTACCTTTCTATTTATAGTTTCTTAACGGGTGTATCAAGTCAATAGTGAACAACTATTGTTGGACAGAGGGAGTAACAAAGAGTACTAGAGTGTTTATTAGCATTAATTAATTATCATTAATTATAGATTTTTAAAACATTTTAAAAAGAATGTTAAAATAGAATTGCCTTAAATTAATTATACCTATACCCAAATAATGCAATAATTTTATTCTGTAATATACCTATCCCGCGAACACGACCCTTTAAACTTGTTGCTTCCACTGGAGTTATGAGTGTATACATATGTAAAGAAATAAAACTAAAGCATACATCTAATAATATGATATAGGCATAATACATAAGCATGCATGATCCTTAACTTGACTTCAACAGATAATTATGCCCTCCAATTTTGAGTATACACAAGTAGACATTTAAATTTGTATAAAATTGAACAAGTAGACACACTTGTCCTACATGACATAATACGCATAGGACACCATGTAGGACACAAATTTTTCATGTAGGGTGCCATGTAGGACAAAATGTATCCAATTACTCAATTTTATACAAGTTTAAGTGTCTACTTATTCACATCCAAAGTTAAAGATCATAATTGTCAGGTGATGTCAAGTTAAATATCATGTTTATGTATTATGCCTATGATATATCATAATGTTACATACATATTTTTTATTTATTACTAATTTAAAATCTTAGAATTCACTTTGTAGTGCCATATAGCTAGCCACTTGAGGTACCTTGAGAGAGTGGACAATTCATATTTCAGTATAATAATTAATGGACAAATTACTTAACTACACTCCTTTACTTATTTTAATATTCATTTGCTCTATTTATTTCAAAAATTTCTTATTTACCTATGTATTCTGCATGTATTCCGTGCACAATGTTATATATCCCGCTATGTGGAATGTATCAAACGCTATGTATCCCGTGCACAACTCTATATATCCCGCATGTATCTCGTGCACAACGCTATGTATCCCGCTATGTGGAATGTATCAAATCTAATGTATCCCGTGCACAATGCTATATATCCCACAAATATCATTTTTAAGGAATTTTTGATAAATAAAAAACTAGAAGGGATAGAATGTTATTTAGTACTTATAATATATATGTGGTTCCTATAATTTATACATAATTAATTACTACTCCTATAACGCAGTTTTTCAGCCACCTTTGCTGCATGCATTAAAAGATTGAGCTTGATTTTGATGTGTCATCCCAATAGCAATTTGACTTTATAGCTTAAATAAAAAGGAAATTTTCTATTTTTGGTTAAAGGATAACTCATACTCCCTTTGAAGGGTGTGTTTAATTTATGGTGTGCAATAATTTTCCCCTCTCAACTATCTTATCTCAAACATTTATTCTTTTGGAGAAGGATATATCTTAACAAAATTATCAATCACATTGCTTGAAAAATTATTATTTTTTCATTAAGAAATGTTTAGTGTTATTTTCATAGATACTTTAACTGAACCAGTGAGTAAAAAAAATGGTAGTATCTTCATATAGAAATTTTTTCTATTATTTCAATAAGGATATATTTTTTTTTTGAGAAAATGGTCTAAAGCCCCTCTAAACTATACTTGAAATCTCAACTACACACTTCAATTTCACGGGTGTCCTATTACCCCCCTGAACCGTTTAAAACTGATATAATTTACTCCCTAAACGCTTATGTGGCACAATAAGTGTATCTCACTCTCTCAAAGAGAGTGAGGACCAAAACAAATAATAAAACTTTATTTTTAAAATTTCTTTTCATAAATATGTGTATTTTTAATTATTCTTTTTTCTTATTTATTTCCTTTCTTCTTCACAACAATATAAACCAAATATCTCCACCACTCACCTTCTCTAAGCAGCGACCATCACATTCATTAGATTCACCATGGAATTTCATTATTCTTCTTGATTCTAGAATTTTGATTATTCAATTTGTGCATGAAGTTAGGAAATT